TGTGCAGGTACGTGGAGGGCAGCGCTCCTCTGCCCGGGGGTCTGCCCTCGCCTCCCCAGACCCCGGCAGCACCTTGCACTCCCCGTTGACACAGATATCGTTGGAGTCCTGCCGGCACGGCGTCCCATCCACCACGGCCGCAGCTCGCTCGGTGTAGAAGTTGAAACCCTCGGCCAAGCAGTTGAGGGAACAGGCTTTCACACCTCCTGGGAAAGAAGCAGAGGTTCAAACAATATCACTGAGGAGGGAGAGGAAAGACACGGAGAGCCAGAGCTGGGCAGCGGCTGCCTTACCCTTGGCCTCCCCATGCCACCACCATGGCCAATGTTCAACTGGCCAACCCGGACTGAACCCACTGGGTCATGCCTGGGGAGGAGAGAGGTCTGAGCAAGGGCAGATCCAGCCTGCAGGGCTGTCTTCCACCTTGGCATCCATCAGGGTCTTTGTGTGATTTACTGCTTTGCAATTTTCTTCCGTTTTTATTGATCCATCCCCTGCAGCCCCAGCACAGCTGCTCCAGCTGCAGGAGCCCCGCCGGGAGGTGTGCTTATTTACACAGCTGCGAAGGATTTCCCCCCTCGAGTTCATTAACTCCATGAAAGAGACGCGCTGTTCTGGCTCATTATTAAGAGATTTCTCCCCCAGAGGCCTCCTCCCGCCCCCTCTCCTCGCTGGACACTTCTTGCAGGATGCAGGAGGACTGACGTCAGGAAGAGGGGAGCACGGGAGGATCCATGGGTTCGCCTCCCTTCTGCCTGGGCAGGAGCTGGCAGCTCTACCTGCCTGTGCAGGGAGGGATGCCCTTTCTCTCCCCATCAGATGCCCTTTTCTAATTTTTTTCCCCATCAGCTACCAGCCACGAACAACTCCCTTCCTTTGTCCATCTTCCTCTTTGCTCACTCGGCCGTTAAGGAAACAAACTCTGGGAAAGAAGTTAAACAACAACTCCGATGCTGCTGGAATTGTTTCTGGCAGAGCAACGAGGTTAAAGAGGGACTGCACAGGGGGATGTGACCCTGGGCACAGCAGGACGGTGGTGCGCCAGCACTGGGGACAGCTGCCTGGAGGGGAGCGGAGTCACACCAGGGGGAGGCAACATGCCCCAGGGACACAGAGCGGGCAGCCTGCAGGACCTGGGCTAGTGGAGATGGTGGCTACCAGCCCACCAGCCCACTTGGACCATGAAACCTGTCCCTGCAGAGAGTGGGGGACAGCCAAACCCTGCACAGCCCCACTCCGGTTCTGCTCAGCCCAGCCCCAGCGCTCACCTCCACGGTACGTCTTCCAGGTGTAGTACTTCCCTCGGAAGGGGACGTTATCGAATTCGGCACACTGCAGCTCTCGGAAGTCCTGGGAGCCCGGCGGGCAGTCCTGTGGACACAGGCAGCAGTCGGTAGTGCTGGGAGCAGCCTGCCTTCGCTGCTGGGAGGGCAGGAGCTGCTGCAGGGCTCCCAGCTCCCACCAACAACCCCTCCAGGAGATGGACACCAGCCCCAGGAACCGGACACTGCTATGGTATGGCAGGAGCATCCTTTCTGCCCAACTA